AAAAACTGTCCTTGAGTGTGGATTAAACAATTTTTTTAAAGAACAAAACAAATTACGGAGATGAAGAACTTAATAAAAGAGATCAAGAATGAACTAGCAAACATAGGAAATAGAGATGACCAGATGGATAAAAGAATTAGTGAATTTGGAAATAGAGATCCAGAAATGACAACAGGGAAAAAGAGAGAGTCCTGAGCATAAAAAAAAAAAAAAAAAAGAAAGAACTCTATGAAAACTACCTGATTCCACCAAAAAGAGCAATGTAAGAATAACAGGCATACCAGAAGAGAGGGAGAAGGGAACAGAGAGCCTCTTTGAACCAATAATTAATGAGAATCCCTCAAATCTATGCAAAGAGCTAGATCCTCTAATCCAAAAACAAGCAGGACACCCAATTACCCCAATATAAAGAGGACTTCTCTAAGGCACACTGTATTAAAATTGTCAAAAATTAATGACAAAGACCCCTGGCCTGGTAGCTCAGTTGGTTAGAGCATCATCCCGTTACATCAAGGTTGCAGGTTCAATCCCTTATCAAGGCACACAGAGGAAGCAACCACGTGATACACAAATAAGTGGAACAACAAATCAGTGTGTCTCTCTCTTCCCCTTCCTTTCTCTCTAATATCAATAAATAAAAATTTTAAAAAATTACTGACAAAGAATTTTCAAGGGGTCCAGGGAAATGAAGAAAGTAACTGATAAAGAAAAGCCCATTAGGTTATCATCGGACTTCTCTGCAGAAGCTTTACAAGCTAGAAGAGAGTGGAACCAAATACTCAAACCACTGAAAGAGAGAAATTACCAGTCAAGTATAAAATATCCAGCAAAGTTATCCTTTAGCTATGAAGGAGAAATAAAGACTTTTCCAGTCATACAGAATCTGAGGGAATTTATCACCAGATGTCCACTGCAGGAAATACTCAAGGGGGTTAATTCTACCTGAAATAAAGAACAAAAGGTCACAAAACTACAAGTAAGATCTCCAACAAACTTACAGCATAAACAGGGATAATTTGTAAGAAGAAAAACATAAAAAGGCAAGGAGGGAGTAAAGGTCTAAATCTGCAGAGGAAGATGAAGATAAGATGCATCAAAAGAAAAAGGACTACTGTGTGTATGAAATTTTCTTTTTTATAAACCCAATTGTAACCACATACACAAACAAAAAACAAAAACAAAAAAATCCTGAGACACAAAACTTAAAAAAAATAAGAGGAAACAGAGCAATAAGGTACAGAATACCACCAAACAAAAACATCAAACAGAAAAACAATGGAGCCCTGACCAAAGTGGCTCACTTGTTGGGTGTCATCCCACAAAACAAAAGGTCACCTATTTGATTCCCTGTCAGGGCACATGCCTGGGTTCTGGGCTCTGTCCCAGGTTGGGGCGTGTGCAAAAGGCAACCAATCAGTGTTTCTCTCTCACATCAATGTTTCTCTCCCTCTCTTTCTCCCTCACTTCCCCTCTCTCTAAAAATAAAAAAAATAAAATCTTTAAAAATAAAAAGAATCAATGGATGTAGAGAGCTATCAAAACAAAAAAATAAAATGGCCATAGAAAATCCTCACATATTTCCCTGGCTGGTGTGGCTCAGTGGACTGAGTGCTGCTGGCCTGCAAACCAAAAGGTTGCCAGTTTGATGCCCAGTCAGGGCACATGCCTGGGTTGTGGAACAGGCCCCCAGTTGGGGGCATGTGAGAGGCAATCTATCAATTATCTACCACACATTGATGTTTCTCTCCCTCACTTTCTCCCTCCATCCCTCTAAAAATAAAAAAATAAAATATTTTTAAAAAAGAAAAGAAAATCCTCATACATCAATAATTCCTCTAAATGTAAATGAACTGGATTCACCAATAAAAAGGCACAGAGTGGCAGACTGGATAAAAAACAAAACCCAACCATATGCTGCCTTTAGGAGATGTATCTAAGCTGCAAACACAAAGACAGACTCAAAATGAAAGGGTACAAAATGATTCTCCAAGCAAATAGAATCCACAATTAGTGATCGAATTGAGACATTAATTGAAAACAATCAACATTATACTACATGGGAGATAGCCAACATACTCAAAATACCCAAACCAAAAATTTACTCTTTCATCTTTACTGGTAAAGATGAAAATGTGTCTTCTATTTTATGGAAAAAACTAAATGGATTTTTTGGCCAACTCATTATGAAAGACAATATGCCACCAAATTCAATAACCTAGAAGAAGTGGGTAAGTTCTAGAAGTACATAACTTCCTTAGGTGCAATCGTGGAGAACAGGAAAATCTAAACAGACTAATCAACAGGGAAGAAACTGAAACCCCCATCAAAAACTTCCCCAAAAATAAAAGTCCAGGAGCAGATGGCTTCACTAGTGAATTTTACCAAACATTCGAAGAAGCTTTGATATCTATCCTTCTCAAACTCTTCCAAAATATTGAAGAGGCAATACTTCCTAAAACATAAAATCAACATATCCCTGATACCAAAACCTGGCAAGGATGAACCAAAAGCGAAGAAAACTACAGACCAATAGCTCTGAAAAATACAGATGCAAAAATCCTAAATGAAATACTCACAAGTCAAATACAACAATACATTTAAAAAATTATAATACATCATGATCAAGTGGGGTTCATTCCAGGGCACAAAAATGACTTAGTATATGCAAAGTGACGAATGTAATATTTCACATTAACAAAACATAAAAACCATAAGATCTTATCAATAGATGCAGAAAAAGCACTTGATAACATACAACATCCATTTATGATTAAAACAGTCAATAAAATGGGTATAGAAGGAAAGTACCCCAACATAATAAAGGCCATATATGACAAACCCTTAGCTCACATCATACTAAATGGTGAAAAATTGAAAGCTTTGCTTCTAAAATCAGGAAGAAGATAAGGATGACCTCTCTCACTGCTCTTATTCAACATAGTACTGGAATTCCTAAGCAAGAGCAATCAGGCAAGAGAAAGAAATAAGCAGGAAAACATACATTTACAATTTTTTTAAAAAGAAAATAAGAGAAATAAGACATCTAAGTTGGGAATGTTGGCCATTTGTAGGTCTTCTTGAGATAAGTATATATTCAGGTCTCTGTCCATTTTTTTAACTGAATTGTTTGTTTGGATCATTGCAGATGACATGATTTGGTTTATAGAAAACCCTAAAGACTCCACAGAAAAAAACTATTAGAAACAAAAAATAAAGTTGTAGCATACAAAATCAATGTACAAAAATCCACTGCTTTCCTGTATACTAACAATGAAATTTCAGAAAGTGTAATGAAAAAAAAAAAACAAAAAACAAAAAACCGATTCCTTTTGCAATTGCAACCAAAATATAATACCTAGGAATAAACTTAACAAAGGATGTGAAGGAACTGTATTTGAAAACTACAAAGTATTATTAAGAGACTGAAAAAGACGATGAAATGAAAAGATATTACCTGTTCATGGATTAGAAGAATCAACATAGTTATAATGGCCATATTACCCAAAGCAATCCCCATCAAAATTCCAATTCCAATGTCATTTTTTAAAGGAACAGAAAAATCATCAGATTTGTATAGAACTACAAAAAAACCCTGAATAGCCAAAGCATTCCTGAGAAAAAAAAGAACAAAGCTGAAGGTATCAAAATACCTGACTTTAAAGTATACTACAGAGCTACGATGATTAAAACAGCATGGCACTAGGAGAAAAAGGACACAGACCAATGGAATAGAATTGAGAGCCCAGAAATAAAACCACACGTATATGGGGCAAGTAATTTTAAAGGAGACAAAAACATAATGGAGCAAAGAAAACCTCTTCAATAAATTATGGTGGGAAAATTGGAAAACCACATGCAAAAGAAAGAACCTAGATTACAGTTTGTCCCCATGTACAAAAATTATTTCAAAATGATCAAGGACCTAAATATAAGACCTGAAACAATAAATTACATAGAACAACAAAACTAAAACAAAAATTAAACTTGAGAATAACCCATGCCAGTTTTGTTGCATCGACCCATGCCTGATCAACTGAGGATTAAAAAATGGACTTGATAATTTTTCCTCAGAAGTATGATTAGACAAAATCAAAAAAGATAATGAAAAACAAAATTTGCAGATGGTGATTCATGGAAGTGCAACATAGTACCATGCTGCAGATGAAAGCAAGTCTACATGGAATATTCCTAATTCATATAGAAATGCATGGTTAATGAACCAAAAGATATTTATTTATACTATAATCTATTGTCTGAAAAAAAGAAACCACTGCTTTTTAAAGATTACTGGCTCAAATTCTAGTACCTATAAATAACAGCATGATAGAAGAATGGATTCCTTATATTTCCCTAATTTTGAGTATTATGTTTGACCTACAGGGTTATTTTAAGAATAGGAATGTGAAGCCTTTTATACACAGTGCAAGGACTCCTCAGCTCACCTCAGATTCCATTCACACACTAATATTATCTGAATGATTTGTATAGGTGTTTCAATGCATGACTCCTGAAGTACGCTATCCTGGGATATACCATCTCTTTAGATTGAGTATTCCTTAAAAGGAATCAAGTGCCTAACAATTTCATTCTTAGTCTTTAGAAGCACTGTAGAGCTTCAAATGTAACCTTCTAACCTGAGATGGATTCTGCCAACCATCAAACTATCAACCACATAGAACAAAAAGTAAATATAACAGTCCTTGACAAATCCTTGACAAGAAGAGACTATTTAAGCCTTCACTCAACAAATATTTACTGAAGGTCTATGTGTTAAACACTATTCCAAGTGCTAGTAATAGAACCTAGAGCAAAATATTAAAATAGTTCTGCCCTCATGGTAACTATATCCCTATGTGTCTACATGGTCACCATACCATCTCTACTATGCCCAGCATTCTCCTGATCTTTGGATGTGTAGCAAGGAAAACATGGAGGTCCAATTTATTTTATAAAATTAATTTATATAAATTTTAAGATTATTATACATAGTTATTCCTTACCTGGTCCTGTGTTGATAATAATGTAAACAGAGTTTCCAATGCTGCTCTTCGAACTGATGATATAGTGTGATGCAAAAAAGGCCAGACACGTGGAACTAAAACTGTGAGTGACTGCTGAATACTAATAAAAAAGACACAAGTTAATCTAATTATTCTCAATGGAAACTTCATTGATACATTATCTAAATATCATTTCCTTATGGAATTACCATCTTTTGCGATGAGTAAATTCTAAAAATCTAATACACTTTTCATGAAAACACTCATTTAACACCCTCATTCAAAACTGTTATTATAGTACAGGAAGAGCCAGAGCAAACACAGTCAAAAAGAAGAATAGAAATAGTACCATTAGGTACATCTATGGCACTGATACCACAAATTACCTTTATCAAATTAGAATTTTCCAATATAAGTGTTTTTATTCTCAATCCGTTCTTACTCAGGAAAATGGGACTTGTATCTTAGCTCATAGTAAACCTACACAAAATCAAGATTGCTAATCCTAACTCCTTTCCTATGGGTAACCATTAGATACCATAACTTACACCCCCTCTGGGACCATCTCTGCCATATATCAAATGAACAAGAGGTGGTATGGTAGTAGCTTTGAAAGTTAGCCTCATTTAGCACTACTAAGAAAACTCAAATATCTTCCTTCTTACAGATTAGATTTTAAATGGGGAAGCAAGCAAAGGCACATCTAGGCTAATAACTTGGATCACAGGATTCCTGTCACATCCAGGAGTGATTTTTAAACATTACCTAGAATTAAGAAATGATTTGTCAGTAACATCTGAAATACATATGAAACCCCTGTACAAAAAAGGCATGGATAAAAAAGAATGTGTCAGTGTAATTACGGTTCTCAAGAGGCCTATATTTTAATGGTTTATTACTTAAAAGCTCATATAAACAGGACTTCTTACATTAATATACACATTTAGTACACATGCACACAGACATAAAACAGACTGAAAATATGTAAAAGCATTATAACAAGGCCTTGTTAATAGTGTAATTGCTCATGCTCCAAATGACATCCTGCACTTCTTCCTACATAAACTAGAAAGTATCTGCCAAATACATGAAGCAAATTTTCTAATAAGATAATTTTGAAAAGATAACAACTACATAATTTCATACTGACTTAATAGAATTTTCACTATATTCTTTCATTTTCTTACATTATCTAGCTTTCCTGACACTATCAAGTTGGTGATTTCTTTTAAAGTTAAATCCTTTATTTAAAGCACATGTCAATAAACTAAGGCCCACAGTCTAAATCCAGTCTATCTGGTTTTTTAAATAAAGTTTTATTGGAAAACAGACTTGTTCTTTCTTTTATGTATTGTCTGTCTGCTTTTGTGCTACAATAGCAGAGCTGAGTAATTCTAACAGAGATCATATGGCCCAGAAAACCAAAAATATCATTACATACAGATCTGAGTATTTTTGACAAAGATCATATGGTTTTGCAAAGCCAAAAATATCATTATCTGCCTTCACAGAGTTTGCCAACCCTTAGAGGTAATTTAAAACTTTTGCATTTTTCAGCTTAAAACAAGGTTTTCATACAGATTATCATTCTTTATAGCTTTCATTACTAATGAAAGCAACAGAAAATTAGGAAATTCCGCATATGCACTACCACCTTATTTTTACCCTCTTCACTTGCTTTTTCAGGCACTTATTTTGCTATTCCAATTTGTGGAGCATCCTATTAACCTAAATTTATCATTGAAGTACTACCAGTAGGCCAGCGTTATTTGAAAGGCCAGCATTATTTGAAACATTTTCTACATGTTTTTGTGTATCACTGGAAACAGACCACTCACACAGCCAGAAATTATTTATGATCATGATCATATGAACATTCACTAGCTAAGACCAGCAATTAATTTTTCTCATCTGTGACTTTTTTAAGTTACATGCAAATTTTTACTTCTGAATCTCCAAGGATACTATTAAAAGAAACAGTAACATTCATGATCCAGTCTAAAAGGCAGAGAATGCATCAATTAGCTGAACTTCATTTCAAATATCAGGATAGGAAAATAGTGACACCAAATTTTTTTATTTATGTGTTTGGATCTACCCAATCTCAGCCTTTGGACATTATATTACATTATTATATACTCCCTTCCTGATGAATAATCCTTGAAATCAAGAACAAGAACTGAAATAAACATTACAAAGAAAAAGTTCCTAGAGGAGATATTTTGGAAAAAGTTATGCTGATGTTTAATGATAATTCTATTAACTAAGTTTATGTCACTAAACTAGGTTAAAATTCTATATTCTGGGTGTAGAGGTAAAAATAATATGCAACTATTATTGAAGTCAAATATTATAGGATGAATAATATGAAGAATTCTATAACAAAAGTAATCTAAAGGTAAAAAAATATGACCTTCTTAAGCTCCTGCCCCAAATATGCTGGTGGCTAGACAGTTAAAAAAAATAGCAATCTTTGGCACCCACAACTTATATTGCCATTCCTAAAGGTAAGATTACCATTTCTTTTAGGCTTAATTCTCTAGAAATGTATAAATACTTTTTACTTTATTCCACTGAATAAAATAATTACCTGCACTGTTGGACCTGAGGATAAGTTAACAGGGATGAAAGAAGAGTCATAATACTATTTGTTGAAGCTGTTAGATCATCTAGTTCCAGAAGAGCATCCCATAATGTGTTTATAATGAAGGGTACCTATAAGATCAGTTATCAAGAAAACAGTTACTAATTTTACACAGACTATTCACAAGCCATGCCAGGTTGTATCCCAGGAGTCACTACTGATTCAACAACATACACAGTCCCAATGACTCTGCATAGGTGTCAGTTTTGAACCAAGTTAAGAAGATATTTGCCTTTAATAAGGGTAATTCCCTACCCTTATTTTTAATGCCACATCTACTCTGAAACTTCACTTCCTAACGAGATTCACAATGGGAGGGAGTATTCAGGAAATAAGATAACCAATACTTTATTTTATATAAAAAACTAAACTTTAAAAAGAATATAGTACAGATACCCAAGATCTGCTTCTCTATGTAATTTTATTTATGAAAGCACTAAAGATAAATTTTGTTTGTAAAATATTGCCTGCTGTGCTTCCAAATATACATGTTCTGGTTTTGATAATACAAAGGAAACTCAGACCTTGAATAAGGCACTTCAAAAAATAAGACCAGATTTAAAAAACCAAAAGTCAAAAAAATCCCCAATCAAAACAAACAAAAATTTCATGTCTAAAAACCAAGAGTAAAGTAAATAAGAAGTGTTTGCTTTTTCCCTCAGGGAAGTTCCCTACATACTGTTTAATACACACAATTCACTCTTCCCAAAGATATTGTATAATTAATAACGCATACATCAGAGAAGGTTAGTGTAAGAAAAAAAAGGATAAAGGAGAAGAAAAGTACTAAATGTTTTTCCTAAAACTTTACCCCAAATGTAAACGAGCTCTATGAAGAATATACAAAAATATTACATTTACCTTCTGTGTCTGAAGATACACAAGGCTTTCTACCACAGGTACTAATGATGCTGCAGCAACAGCTCTGACATCATCATCAAGGTCCTGGAGTCCTTCAATTATTTTACTTAAAACTTTAGGCAATAAAGTATCGATTACGTCCTGTAAAACAATACATCAAAATAAATTAACTTTCTACAGTATAAATATTGTGTTTAAACATTTTTATTAAACTTGCCATATGAAAACATAAATTCCAATATTTATTAAAAAAGAATCACATAAACTGAAAAAAAAATAACACCCATTGAAGCTTATCTAGCTAATCCTATGTGAAAAAGACTACAAAAGTATCAAGTATTTTACTACTGAATGTGACTTAAAACATCAGTTTCTCAAGGTAAGACTATATATACATACATACCCCTAGGACTAGAACCTTCGGCTCACTGATAACTAAAAAGGGTATGAGAAGAACAAAAGAAAAGCCAGCCCCTTCCTGCTTCTCTTTATTCCAATCTACTCTTTTCAAGTTCCCAACAGAGCTAACCTTCAGAGGCCACTCCTGTGTGATCATACAAGATGGAATCTCACCTAGAATTGGTCTTGCTATGAACTAGGAACAGGTTTCCAAACCTAATTTATCATCTTTTGATTTGTACTTTCTTATTATCATCACCTATCTCTATGACACTACCTCAAGAGAGCAAAGCTTGACAGACTGACTTATATGTAACACTAGAATTTAGGGCCATTTCATAATTCATAAAAATAAACTAAGAAGGGAAAAACTCTCCCATGTTGCTTCAAAAAGTTGAATGTTTGAGCGCGGGCCTGCGAATCACACGATCGCAGTTCGATTCCCAGTCAGGGCACATGCCTGGTTGCAGGCCAGTTCCCAGCAGGGGACTCAGGAGAGGCAATCATACATTGATATTTCTCTCCCTCTCTCCTTCCCTTCCCCTCTAAAGATAAATAAATAAAATCTTAAAAAAAAAAAAAAAAGTTGAGTGTTTACCTGACGAACTGCCAAAGCATATTTTATTCCTAGCAGACCACCATGTCTAACTTCCCACTGTTCTTGTGTAAGCAATTTAAGCAGCACATCCACAGTCTTATGAACTCCTGTTTCATTCATGTGTTTTAACACCACACCTAATGTTTGAGCACAAGTTTCACGAACTGGTGCCACAACCTGCAAGTGAAAAAAAGAGAAAATTCATATTTGCAAAAAGCTTATTTGCTGAATTTAAAATTTGATTGGGCAAACCTTCCCTTATGTGATAACTTACTTCATCGGAAACAAAGTCTCCAAATCTGTCTAATGCAAAAACACAAAGGAGTCTAATAACCAAGTCTTCCAACCATTCTTGATGCTGCTGAATCATCTGTTAAACAATAATTTTTTTAGTAACAAAGATCACACTTTATATTGTGGGTTGGGGAAACATATTGGATCCAACAAAAATTAAAATATTGGGATGGGTTATATTAGCTGTAGGAACAGTAATCAAACTATATTAGAGTTCCAACTGCTATCTTTTGTATTAGTCACTTCTTTTTATTAACCAAATTCAGATATACTATAACAAAATCTTTAAAATTCATGAACTTTATCATATTACTTGCACTGCAAGAGAAATTGAGAAACTATTTAAGGTTTCACTAATATCAATTATACCTGTTATTTACCTACTATCAATCCTATTACCAGTGTCTCCATGCTACACCAATCATATTGCTCACTGACCTCTAAACTATCCTCTGTTCATCTTATTATACTTTCTAATCCATTATATCCTGCTCAAATACTATTGCTTCTACATATTTTTCCACTCAATGTTTCTGAGTATCTTTCCCCTGAACTCATTCTTCCTCTATCTATAAAAAGCCTTTTCCTAATCTTTTTACTTTTCCCTCACTGCTTTTCAATATTTATTATTTACCTCTCATTACTACTTCATGTCACATGCACTGTTACCTCCCTAACTGGAAAAAGAGCCAACTACTGAAACTTGATAGGAACTGTTGCTTTAACTACACTTACCTCTTCTAAAGTACTGTCTCCCATTTTACCACCGCTTTTTCCATGAGCTTTAAGGATTTCCCTAAGCCCAGTGCCTGCACCGTGTCGAACCTAAGAAGAACCCGGAAGTAAATGTCAGAGGTTAAATACTCCAGAAACTGAGTTTAACGTTTTTTTTTTTACCATGCCATTTTTTAAAAATTATTTTTCAACTACAGTATTGTCTTTTACTCCCATCCCAGCCCACCCACCCCCGTGCCCTTAACTTTTAATTTGAAAAGGGGATATTATATTTTTAAGAAATTAGAATAAACTAAGTAGCATTTCACAAGAATATCTTTTTCTTCTACTATCCAAGGAGAATTACATGTATAAATTTTACAATTTTGGTTATGAGGAAGATTTTAAATCAAGTTAAGAAAATAGCTATTCTTGAGATATATATAATCCACGTGGCTATCCCTCCTCTATCTTTTATTTGTATTCAGCATTATTGACACTAAAAAAAGTATCATATATTGTTCCTTATAGTTCCAATATCAATATTTTAGAAATATACGCATCAAAACTAAGTTCCATAGCTGTCAGTGTCAGGCATCAAAGGAAGACAATTCAAATAAAATGTCATATGACTAATGCTACCCCTTAGCCCTATAAGCCTTCTGCAGTGTCCTTTGGAATAGAGGAATCAGGCCACTGACACTTATTCAAGAACCCATGTAAGTTAAAACTTGAAGAGCTTTAAATAGAAATACATCAAGAAGCAGAAAGGCTGCTAAATGGTACTACAAACAGGTGTTTTTTAAATTATCCAGAGGCTAATCTAAGAACAGAATGGCGTGAAACCACCAAGCCTCAACTTTAACCAGAGGAACTTCACTTTCATCTCTTTTATATACTGGGATCAACTAGAGATTATCTTTGAAAAATATTTCCAGGTTTAAAAGCTGGTGTAGAAACTATAGCTTTTAATGAAAATTGTCCACTTCCAAAGGAAATTTTTACTATCTAGGAGAGATATACAAGCCTTTGTATTATAGTAAAAAGAAATGAACAAATCACTAAAGACACAACAAAAATTATATGGAAGGTGAAAAACAGTCTAAAGGTTTCTACTTGGTGAGTGATATAAAATGCCTTGAGCAGTGGTCCCGACAGGGGCACAAGGGAAAAATAAGGACAATGACAAAATGGATTATGCTTGACATGGTTCCTTTCATTAGCAAAGAAAATACAGCTGAGATGAACTCTAATGAAGAAATCACAGACAAAATGGTAGGAAGGGCAGAGATGTGAAAAGGGCTGATGACGCTCCCATGGGTGATGGCTGAGATTCTGAAGAGAGATTCTGCTGCAGGGGTTCCCCTTCAGGTAACTCATGGAGTGCCCAGCTCAGTTGATCATGAAGACTGCACCATTGGGTCCTACAAGACACCTACTACATAAGGCCACCCTACCAAGACTGGGAGTCATAGCAATTCTACCTAATACATAGAAACAAACACAAAGAGGCAGCCAAAATAGGGTGACGAAAAAAAAGACCCCAAATGAAAGACCAGGAGAATACTCCAGAAAAAGAGCTAAGTGAAATGGAGGCAAGCAATTTACCATAGATATAAAAAAATGATTATAACAATGCTCAAGGAACTTAGTGAGAACTACAACAGTACAAAAAGGACAGAGAAAACATAAAAAAGAACCAGTCAGAGATGAAGAATACAATATATGAAATGAAGAACACACTGGAAGAAATAAACAGTGGTTGAGTGAACCAGAGGATCAAAGCAGTAATTTGGAAGACACTCAATTAAACACTCAATTAAAGCAGCAAAAAGAAAAAAGAATTTTAAAAAATGAGGTGAAGAAATTTAGACCTCTGGTCAAGATGGTGGCATCAGTAAACATGGCTCACCTCCTCACACAGCCACATCAAAATTACAACTAAATTATAGAACTACCATTACTCAGAACTGGCAGAAATTGAGTTGAATGGAAGTCTGACAACTACAGAGTTAAAGAAACTACATCCATCCAGACTGGTGGGAGGGGCAGAAAGATGGAATGGATGGAATGGACTAGTTCCACATCCACTTGTGGTGGATAAAAATTTGGGAGGGACACCAAGACACATCATAATTAAAATGGCCAAGATTTAAGACAAAGAAAGCACATTAAAAGTAGTATAAGAAAAACAGTTAACTACAAGGGAGCTCCCATAAGGCTCTGAGCTGATTTCTCAACAGACATTTCAGGCCAGAAGGCATTAGCATGGAATAGTCAAAGTGATAAAAAGCAAGGACCTACAACCAAGCCTTGCTTTACCCAGCAAGGCTGTCATTTAAAATTGAAGCTACTCCGGCAAGAGAAAACTTAGGGGAGTTCATTACCACCAAGCCAGTACAACAAGAAACATTAAAGGGTCTTTTTTAAGAAGAAGAAGAAAAAAAGAGGAACATAAATAAAAGGATAAAATTGCAATAAATACCTATCAATGATAACTTTAAATATAAATGGCTTAAATGCTCCAATGGAAAGACACGGGGTAGCTAAATGGATAGGAAAACAAGACCCATATATATGCTGTCTACAGAGGCCCATCTCAGAACAAAAGATAAACACAAACTAAAAGTAAAGGGATAGAAAAGATATTTCATGCATATGGAAATGAAAAAAAGTTGTGGTAGCATTACTTATATCAGACAAAATGAACTTTAAAACAAAGGCTATAGTAAGAGACAAAAAAGGACATTACATAATGATAAAGGAAGCAATCCAACAAGAAGACATAACCCCTGTACACATTTATGAGTCCAATATTGGAACAGTGAAATATATAAAGCAAATCTGATGGACATAAAGGGAGAGAAAACGATAATACAGCCAGAGTAGGGGACTTTAATGTCCAATGACATCAATGGACAGATCTTCGAGACAAAAAATCAACAAGAAAGCAGAGGCCTTAAACGACACATTAGATCAAATGAATTTAATTGGTATCTTCAGAGCATTTTACCCCAAAGCGGCATAATATACATTCTTGAATATACACTCAAGTTCATATGGAACATTTTCTAGGATAGACCACATGTTAGGACACAAAACAAGTCTCAATAAATTTAAGAAGACTGAAATTATATCAAGAATCTTCTAATACCATAATGGCATGAAACTAGAAATCAGTCACAAGAAAACAAACAAAAAAACACACAAAGATATGGAGGCTAAATAACAGGTTAATAAATGAATCAGTTAACAAGGAGATCAAGGAAGAAACCAAAAGATACCCTGAAACAAATGAAAATGAGAACACAACAACCCAAAATCTATGGGACACAGTGAACTCAGTCCTAAGAGGGAAACTCACTGTATGTATTACAGGCCTACCTCAAAAAACAGGAAAAACCACACACAATCTAACTTTACACTTAAAGGAACTAGGAAAAGAACACGAAACAAAGTCCAAAGTGAGTAGAAGGAAATAATAAAGGTCAGAGAAGAAATAAATAAAATATAATCTAAAAAAACAACAGAAAAGAGCAATACCAAGAGCTGGTTCTCTGAAAAGATAAACAAGATGGACAAACATTTAATCAGACTCATCAAGAAAGGAAAAAAAAAAAAAAAAAAAGGACCCAAATAAATAAAATCAGGAATGAAAGAGGAGAAGTAACTGACTGCACAGAAATACCAGGAATTGTAAGAAAAAATTATGAACAAACACATGCCAATGAATTGTACAATCTGGAAGAAATGTGTAAATTCCTAGAAACATCAAATTTTTCAAAACTGAACTAGGAAAAAGACTCTCTGAATAGATTACAACTAGTAAAATTAAAACAGTAACCAAACAACTCCCAGCAAAAAAAAGTCCTGGACTGGATGGCTTCACAGGTGAATTATACCACACATTTAAAGAAGAATTAACATCATTAAAATATCCACACTACCCAAAGCAAGCCATAGATTCAACGCAATTCCTATTAAGACATCAATAGCATATGTCACAGAACTATAACAAATATTCCAAAAATTTACATGGAACTACAAAAGACCCTGAAGAGCCACAACAATCTTGAGAAACAACAAAGTTGGAGGAATCATGCTACCTGATATCAAACTATACTATGAGGCCATAGTAATGAAAACAGCATGATACTGGCATAAAAACAGACACACAGATCAATGAAACAGAACAGAAAGCCCAGAAATAAACACACACCTTTATGGTCAATTTAACAAAGGAAGCAAGAACATACATGGAGTAAAGATGGTTTATTGCAATAAATGGTGTTGGGAAATGCAACAAAAATGAAATCAGTCTACCATCTTATACCATATACAAGAATAAACTCAAGATGGATAAAAGACTTAAATGTAAGTTGCAAAACCATAAAAATCCAAAAGAAAACACAGGCAGTAAAATCTTGGACATTCGTAGTAGCAATATTTTTTCTAACGTATCACCTTGGGCAAAGGGAAAAAAAAAATCAAATGGGACTACATCAAACTAAAAAGTTTTTGCATGGCACAGGAAACCATCAACAAACGAAAAGACAATCCACTACTGGGAGAACATATTCAGCAATGATACATCTGATAAAGGGTTAATATACAAAATTTATAAAGAATTTATAAAATTCAACAACAACAAAAAATCCAATATAAAAATGGGCAAAGGACCTGAATAGATAGATCTCCAAAGAGAACATACTGATGGCCAATAGACACATGAAAAGATGCTCAATGCCACTAATCATCAGAGAGATGCACATTAAAACCACAATGAGATATCACATAACACCTGTCAGAATGACTATCAGCAATAAATCAACAAACAACAAATGCTGGCAAGAATGTGGAGAAAAGGGAACCCTTGTATACTTTTGATGGGAATGCAGACTGGTGCAGCCACGGGGAAAGCAGTATGCAGCATTATCACAGAAAATTAAAAATGGAACTGCCTTATGACCCAGCGATTCCACTTCTGGGTATATATATATCTGAAGAAACCTGAAACACTAATTCAATACAATATGCACCCCTATGTTCACTGAAGCACAATTTACAATACCCAAGATCTGGCAGCAGCCCAAGTGCCCATCTGTAGATCAGTGGATAAAAAAGCTGTGGTACATTTACACAGTGGAATATTACTCAGCTGTAAAAACACAGAAAATCTTACCTTTTTGACAGCATGGATGGACCTGGAGAGTATTATACTAAGTAAGATAAGCCAGTCAGAGAGAGACAAGGATCATATGATTTCACTTATATGTGGAATTTAATAAATAAAATAAACTAACAAACAAACTAGAAACAGACTCAATTTTAGAGAATAGACTGACAACTGTCAGAGTGGAGGGAGTTGGGGGGCTGGGTGAAAAAGTTGAAGGAATTAAGCAAACAACTGAAAAAACAACTCAGAAATACCATCAATAGCACGGTGATTACCAGAGGGAAAGAGGAGTAGGGGGAGGCAGAAGAGGCTAGGGAGAATAAAGGAGGGATAAATGGTGCTGGAAGAAGACTTGACTTGGGTGGTGAACACATAATACAATAAATATACAGATGATGTATTGTAGATTGTACACCTGAAACCTATATAATTTATTAAGCAATGTCATCCTGATAACTTCAGTAAACAAATACTGAAAAAAATTTAAATACCTACAAAGAAAGAGAAATCATACCTCCCAAGAGGGATTAAAAAGGTCATTGCAAAGTTCTTCACAAAAGCTTTCCAAAGGCCATTCATTTGTCTGAATAAGAAAAACAAAGTTACTAAGGTCTATTTTATGCTAATAATTGAAGTATTAATAAAGTATATTTATTTGGAGGTCTAATAATAATAGCTTTTTAATTTTCTAAATAATTAAAATGTTTATTAATGAAGTAAAGATATAAGAGTTTTAATAACATTTCTTTCAGTTAACAGAGTAGTATGAAAAGATTATACACAATTTCAAAGGACACTTAAGGGCATTTCACCATACCTCTTCAATTAAGGAAGAATTATCTGGATTATTATCAATCAAAACTTTGGAATCATTTGCAGACTGATTAATAACCACATTTGCTATTTTTCGTCTCTTTTCTTCTGGTTCTCCATCGGTGCTATCGTTACTAAAAAAGAAAAGTCACCATTTAAAACACAAATAAGGATAATGTAAACCACAATGAATATAAGAGAATCCATCATTGAGCAAATGTTTTAGTCATATTCTGCTTATATGTTTTACACTTATAATGTCATGTACAAACAACCAAAATTAACCACTTAAAATTTTTTGAACAGAAATATCCTACTACTCTTACTGATGAATATAAAAATAGTGAATTCTTGCTTTCAAATTAGATCTCAAATCTTAAGACTTTTTTTCTTCCTCTCTAGAACCAGCTCTTCTCCTTTTTATTTTAAACTCCCTCATTCTAACCACCTAAATCTGGGCCAGCATTACCTTTTGTAGGCTTTTGTACCCAGGAGAAAAGTAATATACTGAGTGACACACTATAATTTTACCAGTTCTTGAAAAACATAGAGATATGACAACTGATCAATGAAAAAATTTGAAAATTTGAGGAAGTGTTATTTTATGACTGAAAGACCAAAAATATTGAGGCTACCCTCGTAACAAAATATTACAAAGGAGAAGACAAGTAAAGCTATTCAGAATTAATGAAAAGAAACAAATTAGCATCATTAAGGCATATACAGAGTTTTCTTCCTATAAATATTTCCCCCCATCATAATAGTGTAATTTGTTTGGCCAACCATTCTTTCTATAAGGTAATGAATAAAATCTGAGCCTCTCTAATCTCATTCCTTACTGTTTTTAACCTAATTCTCTCCAATCTAGCCACATTTGGTCACTTTATTGTCCTTGAATTTGTTACCCACGTTTCTGCTTCCAGGCAATTGCCCTTACTATTCTATGTGGATTGTCTTTCCAAAAACACAGAATTCTCACTTCTTTCAGATCTCTACTGAAAGTCAACTCTGTGAATATCTGCTGGACCAGCCCATTTAAATTGTAAACTCTTTATCCACACAACATTTCACAAGTTCTTTACTTGCTTTATCTCGTTTTTCTTTCCTGTTCCTTAGCATTAACATGTGACTTACTTATTTTGTTCCTCATTTGTCTTTCCCTCTAGAATGTAAGCTCTACAAAAGCAGAAATCTTATCCATTTTAGTCACTAATGGATGTTGAGGGCCTAGTAAAGTATTTGGCATTTAAAAGATATTCAGTAAATATTTGTGGAATGAACAAATCACAAATCTGAAAAATAAGGCCTAATATTTCCAATATTCCAATATTTGGGTAAAAGTGCTTATATAAATAAAAGCCGGTAGCAACAATTACTAGGTTACCATACTATTCTAATGAGCTCTTAACTTAAAAAATCCTGTAGTTAATAAGCCATAAAGATTCTGCACTTAAAAACAACTCCATTTAAAAATTTATACCAAGTAGGTGGGTGGGTTGGAATGGGAGTAAAAGACATAAAACTGTATTTGAACAATAATTAAATAAAAATAAATAAGTAAAGTCATAAATTAAAAAAAATATTTACACTAAGTAGATGTTTATTTATCCTCCTTTGTGCTTAGCTTTTACACTTACTTTCCAGGTATACATGAATGGGAAGAACAAAAGTTGTCACCTGTAACATTCATTTCATAGGCTCTCATGTTTAGTTCATCATTTACGCAAACACTTCTTGAATACCACTAAAAATTCTAATATAATAGAGCTGAATAGGGCTCAAGAAATCTGCATTTTAGCAAACCCCTCAAAATGCTTTTGAAGAGGCTTGTTTTGAACCACCCTTTGAGAAATGCTGCTCCAAGCTATGCACAGGGTATCACTAAGAATGTGAGTACCATGAGTTTACCACAGAGTTCTTTCCTACAACACAATTAGGTAAATAAAGCCCGGATTATTACCTGCTGTTTGGTTTAGCACCCAGCCTAGGGAACAGCTGATGTAATACTGTAATAATTCTCACTTTACTAATGCAGTATTCTTTACTTGTGGCCCTTAGATCACCATCCCTCTGTCTTCACTCTGTACTACTCTCACTTCCATCCACTCATCCCAGTCATACTGCCCTTCTATTTCTTGAACATTGCACAATTAAGGCATTTACACTGTTTGCTGCCTCTGCCAGGAACATGCTCCCCTTGGAAAACCTTCAGTCCTTATTCAGATTGTATAACTAGTAACAAAAAATATCTGCATATGTAAAGTTTTCTGGAAAGTTGTCCTAGTCCCTAGTAACAGTAAATACTCTGACAGTTGAATAAGACAATCCAAATGGTACTCCACAGCTAGAGACAACATCAGTAAAATATTGTTAGAGATCAAGCAGACATAGATGTAAGCTACAGTGTCACTGTTTTAAATTAATAGCAGAAAAAGATTACTACCTCTTCTCATTAGTTTCCACTGCATCCCTGGATCTCTGTTTTGCAAATAACTTGGCCATTCTTTTAGCTTTGTTCTTTTGCCTATTGCTCATTCCGGCTCGAAATTCTGAGTCAATCAATTCAGCTGCCTGGAGAGTCTAAAAGAATAAAAGAATACTGAGTTTAAACTTCAGAAGTTAAAATAAATATCCATAGTATCACAGCCTCAGAAGAGGCCTAAGTCACTATATTCAAATTGATCACATTCTTTTTTGACAGCTTCCTGCTGTTTTAGTGTATGGCTGTACCATAACTGTATTCTCTTCTTCCTTCCTTATTCTTCCAATTCCCAATAGATGCTCATGTGTTTAACTTTTCTTATGTCACAGATGTGGCACAAATGTATGATCCTAACCCATGGAGAGGGCTTTGAAGAGGTGAGATTTCAAAATAATTGTAATACCAACCAAAAATTATGAGAATAAAGAATGTCAATGAGGACTTCCGCCAAGATGGAGGTTTAGGTGGATGTTCCTTGCCTCCTCACACAACCAAGTTTAGGGACAACTAAATATTAGCATCAGAAAACACAACCAGAACACGGAAAACTGAACTTTTCGGAAGTCCGCTAACAACAAATTCTTCGGCCCGACCGGTAAGGGGTGAAACCGGCGTCGGGTGAAGAGTTACAAAGGAGAGCTCGATCGACCCGGGCGCAGAATCCAGACGCGCGAATCCAGTCGCATGGGTTCCAAACCCAGGATTGGACCTAGTGAGCGACCGAGTGGCCCACCGGGTGAGCGACTACGGAGGAGTCAGTGGGGAGGCGGTGGCAGCGAGTGGACTGGGGTTGCCCGGTTGTGCGCGGGTGAGGGAGTGAGCGGTCGGACCAGCGGCGGCGGCGCCATTGCCATTTCCCCGCTCTGACCACGCCCCCACATACAGCGCCACAACCCAGCGACCTGGGACTCCAAGGAGCCACTTCTCTCACTTAAAGGGCCAGAACAGACCAAAAATGTCGCAGGGGGACCTCAAAGTCCCGGAGATAAATCTAAGTGACGAAGAAATAGCAAATCTCTCAGACGCACAGTTTAAAACACTGGTCATCAGCTTCCTCACAGATCTGGTGGACTATAGCCACAAATTAGAGAAACATATGAAGGCTAAATTAAGGGAAATGAATGGAATTCCACAGGAAACCCATAGAGATGAAAAAAAAACTGGGACTCAAATCAATGGAGTGAACCAGAAGGAAGAAAAAAATGATCAATCAGAAAGGAATGAAGATATAAGAATTCAGAAAAATGAGGAGAAGCTTAGGAACCTCCAGGACATCTATAAACGCTCCAATATCCGAATTATAGGGGTACCAGAAGGGGGAAAGACACAACCACCAGTGGAAAAACTATTTGAACAAATAATAAAAGAAAATTTCCCCAATCTGGCAAAGGAAACAGACTTCCAAGAAATCCAAGAAGCCCAGAGAGTACCAAAAAAGTTGGACTCAAGAAGAAACACACCAAGGCATATCATAATTACATTAGCCAAAATTAAAACGAAGGAGAGAATCCTGGAAGCAGCAAGAGCTAAGGGGACAATCACCTACAAAGGAGTCCCCATCAGGCTGTCAGCAGATTTCTCAAAAGAGACCTTACAGGCAAGAAGGGGCTGGAAAGAAATATTCCAAGTCATGAAATCTAAAGACCTACAACCAAGATTGCTCTATCCAGCAAAACTTTCATTTAGAATGGAAGGACAGATAAGGTGCTTCTCAGATAAGATCAAATTCAAGGAGTTCATCATCGCCAAGCCCTTATTATATGAAATGTTAAAGGGACTTATCTAAGAAAAAGAAGTTAAAGAAACATGAACAGTGAAAGGACAACAAACTCACAGTTATTAACAACCACACCTAAAACGAAAGCAAACTAAAAGGACAGCTAGATCAGGAGTGGAAACATAGAAATGAAGATCTCAAGGAGGGTTAGCAACAGGGGAGTGGGAGGAGGAGACGGGGAGAGATGGTACAGAAAACAAGTAGCATAGACAGTAGATAGAAAATAGATGGGGGGGGGCAAGAATAGTATGGGAAATATAGAACCTAAAGGACTTGAGACACATGGACATAAGCTAAAGGGGGGTAATGGTGGGGTTGGGGGGGCAGGGTGGAGGGGAATGAAGGGGGGAATAGAACAACTGTAACAGCATAAACAATTCAAAAAAATTAATAAATTTATTTAAAAAAATTAAAAAAAATGTCAATGAAAGAAATAAGTAATTATCACCTGCTGAAAAAAACAACTACTGTCAGAAGTGACTAGTCCAGCATCCTATTGTCAACTTCCCCTGTAAGCTCCCTTTTTCTCAAGCACTCAGTGCCTACAGTTTTTTTATCTCTTCTCCATATATGGCAGACATTATAAAGGCTATGAATTAAAAATGCTTTGAGCCCAAGTCTAAAAATCTGTTCTGCCTTTAAACGATTAAGATTCAAATGAAGCCCTGACCAGCATAGCTCAGTTGGCTGAGCATTGTCCCACAAAGTGAGAGGTCAGTTTGATTCCCAGTCAAGACACATCCCTGGGCTGCCAGCCTAGTCCCTGGTTGGGAGCATGCAGGAGGTGACCGACGGGTGTTTCTCTCACACATCCTTGTTCCTCTCCCTTCCCTTCTTCCTCCCTGTCCCTCTCTCTAAAAATAAATAGAATATTTTTAAAAATTCAAACAAAATACCATTCTACAAACAATTAAGGTCAGTGGTGCGGATGCCAAGCTACAGTCTTGATCGATCCAGAGACCACAGGTGCAAATAAAAGGCAATGCAGTGGTAATGAGTTCATGGCAATTCCTTGGATCTTTCAAACCATAAAATGGCTATTGCCCAGCCCATGTCCAACTATTCTGTATACAGACCATTTTCTCTATTATACCTGCCCATTCATTTTCTTATACCATGTCCAATTATTACACTGTGATCACTGTATTACATTTTTGTTCTGATTTATTTTATTCTATTTTCTTTTCATTTACATCTTAAGCTTCCTTTTGTAGCCCATTTCTTTCCATTTCTTGCTGGCTGTCTGTCATTATATTTTCTGCCTCTTTTATACTCCTTTTTCCCTCTAGTATGCATAAAATACATATTTTTTTTGGCTGCAAAAGTTATTCATCATCTGCCCTTGTCAGGTGGCTCAGCTGGTTGGACTGTCGTCCCATGCATCAAAAGGCTGCAGGGTAGATTCCTGGTCGGGACACATATCTAGGTTGCAGGTTTGATCCCCTGCCTGTGTGAGAGGCAACCAATTGATGTTTCTCTCTCACATCAATGTTTCTCTTTCTCTCTCCCTTCCTCTCTCTCTAAAATCAATAAAACATATCTTCAGATGAGAATTAAAACAGCTATTCATCATCACACACCCCAACCCTAAAATATATACCACAGTTTACAAGTTCAAATGATTAAGAGAACAACTAGCATAAAAGAAAATAAACCATTTCAACTTAAGCAAAGCAAAAGGCCAAGGAAATGAAAAGGTGAAAGTTTCATGACTATAAAGCAGGAAATCCTAACAGGGCTGGCTCAAAGAACTCTAAAAGGATATTGCACGGGCAAGAGGAAATGGTACTGAGCCTCTAAAAGGTAATGTTTCAGTTGTATGTGGTTTTTTCTGAGGAGAAGGGTGCAGCTTTTACTGAGCTTATAAAAGTCTGGGGCATAAACACACACACACACACACACACACACACACACACACACACACACACACAGAGGCATTCATTGGGAATTGAAAGAATAGAGAGAAAAAAAAGAATACAAAGTAATATTATGGTATAGCCACCAACAAAATAGCCTGCAGCTGTCAAAAAAAAGGAATGTAATCAATCTGTATACACTGATATTTATGCTACGTGAAGTGGGTACACATGGCTTAAAAGGACACATATACTTGTATATACACAGAAAATTTCAGGAAGGATACACAAATCAAAAAAGGTTGTCTTTGGGACATGGAGACACAGGTGTCTATCAATTATTGAAAAGAATTTCTTTTACTTCATAGTGTATATCCTTTTGCATTATTTAATTACTGGAAAGAATTTTTTTACTTCATAGTGTATACCTTTCACATTGTTTAAAGATCCGTTTTATGTTTGTTACTTTTTCAAATTAAAAAAATGAATCACAGCTCTGAAGTATCCTATCTGACTATGATAGCTCTTACTATCACCCATACCCTCAAACATTCACTTTTTTTTCCTTTGCTAAAGAACAAAGAAAAGAGGAATTGGTACAATTAGGATCTCTTAATATTAAGAAGCTCCTAAGACTCTACTAGACCAGTCTCTACAAGGTTGGATGAACTTTTGTCCCTTTAAAACCTGTCACCAGAAATCCAGTTTATGAAGATATTACATGGTGACGCTAAGCAGCAATGAGTAGGATTAAGGACAGTGTTTTTTGTTTTTTTTTGTAAAAACTGCAACTGCATTGCAAAATGTAGCAAGCCCTTCGTACCATTACTTAAAATCAAACAAATATAGGTTTTACCTACAGGTTGTTTGTTTACAAGGGCTGCTGAGGTTGGGGTATAATCCAAATCTTCATCATTGAAGAGTTCTTCAGTACTCATTCCAATGGCTTCTCCCATGTTAAGGCCAAGTTTCTTCTGTAATAGTTTTCGTTGGCGTGCTATCCTTTCTTTAGGATCCACTTCACCTTTAAACAGAAAAGAGATACATTTCCTCTAAGTTAAGAAGTGTTCTAATACATGAAGAACAGGCTTGATTAAAATACAAAAAACTTTAACTACTAAAACACCCCTCCTGACAATAAACAAATGATACTCTTTGTCTCAGAATATGTCAAAAGTTCTATTACCTAACCATGCTTTGCAATAGTGTACTCAGTAACAAAAAACAGTTTTCACTGAGACTTCCCATTGCTCTACTGTCAATTAAGTAAATATAAAATGAGGTCCATCCTATAGAAAAGAATCTTATTTTATAGCTACACCTTGTACATTCTCTGAAAAATCTAATCAAGCTAAACAAATATATAGATTTTATCTGACAGCAAAGATTTCAACAAATACATGCTTATTCCAAATGTGGCCTTTATGCGTGTTCTGAGATGACATCGCCCTAACAGCCCAAATAACAAAGGTAAAGGCATAAAAAGTAGACAGATAAGGCATAAAAAGTAGACAGATTTTAAATGTCCAAAGTACAATCTGTAATACTTCAGTGGAAAACAGATTAAAAGGTATTATTTTAAAAATAAAAATTCATGCCATGGCTGGTGTGGCTCAGTAGACTGAGTGCCAGCCTATGTATCGCTGGGCTGCTGATTCAATTTCTGGTCAGGGCACATGCCTGGGATGCAGGCCAGATCCCAGTCTGAAGGCGTGTGAGAGGCAACAGATGGATGTTCCTTGAACGTTGATGTTTCTCTTCCTCTCTTTCTCCCCCCCTTCCCCTCTCTCTAAAATATAAATAAAGTCTAAAACATAAATAAAAATAAAATTTTAGGCCCTGGTTGGTGTGGCTCAGTTGATTGGAGTATCATCCCATACACCAAAAGGCTGGGGGTTTGATTCTTGGTCAGGGCACATGCCTAGGTTGCAGGTTCAATCCTCTTTTGGGGCACAAATGAGAGGCAACCAATGAATGTTTCCCTCTCTCTCTCCCTTCCCCTCTCTCTAAAATTAATAAACAGCCCTGGCTGGTGTGGCTCAGTGGATTGAGTGCTGCCTACAAACCAAAGGGTTGCTGGTTCGATTCCCAGTCAGGGTACATGCCTGGGTTGAGGGCCAGGTCCCCAGTAGAGGGGGCGGGAGAGACATCCCCTCATTGATGTTTCTCTCTCTCTCTCTCTCTCTCTCTAAAAATAGATAAATTATTTTTAAAAATAAAGTAAAACCAATAAACATATATTTTTAAAGTTCTGAAAGCATTTTAAATAAAATAAATAAATAAATAATTGGGGCCCTTGCTGGTGTGGCTCAGTTGGTTGAAACATTGCTCCACACATCAAAAGTCTGGGGGTATGATTCCTGGTCAGAGCATATACCTAGATTGTGGGTTCAATCCCTGGTCAGGGCACATATGGGAAGCAACCAATTGATGTTTCTTGCTCACATCAAATGGTCCTCCCTCTCCCCCTCTATCTCTCTCTCTCTCCCCCATCTCAATTCAATAAATAAAGATAAAATAAAGTAACAAATTTGGCTTAAAATAGCTAAGTTGCAAGAAATAGCCCTACATAATTGGGGGAAAAAGCTAACATTTTAAAAACTGATGGGCTACTTCTAATAACTCTTATTGGACTAACCTTGCACACATGATAAACTCAAGGCAAAATATTTTTCAAAATAACTACCTGAAGGCACTGGAAAGAGTATAAAAGTAGGCACATACTTGGGAGAATTGTCAATACCTGGAAGAAGGGGATGGCACTGGGTAAGTTTCCCAATTTTGCAGCTTATAACCTTAGGGTGTGTGGGGCAGCTAAAAGCTGGATAAAAACCCCAGTCTTTCTGGCTTGAAGAACTAGAGGAAGGAGAGTCAGGAGTCAATCTAGCCACTGAAAGATGGAGAAAACACAAAAAGGAGAGCACCAAGGAGAGGGAGAAGGACCAAATCCTGTATAAACTGTCCAATCTGTGCCTGAACCTGTGGCTGAATTCTGAACTGCATGGGGCAGAAGATTCCACGCAGTCCAGCTAAAGTTAAAAACTGATCTGAGATTTGAGCTGATGCCCACGGCAAAGGAGTCTGGAATTTGAGTTTTGCCAAATTAAATGCATGCTAAAGCAAGCAACAACCAAACCAAACAAAAACACTCTTTTGAAGAATGTAACAGAATCCAGCCACCACAAAATACCAGTAGCACTTATAATGTACGGGATACAATCCAAAATTAATTGACATAGAAAGAATATAAGAAATGTAACCCATTCTGAAAAGAAGAGACAATTAATAGAGACCAAGTCTGAGATGACCCAGGTGTTGAAATTAGATTACAAGATTTTTAAGCTGAGTTTAACAATGCTCAATGTGAAGGTATTGTCACAATAATGAAAATGTATGATCCCTCAACAGAGAAAAAGAAACTATAAAAAAAAAAGAACCAAATACAAAGAATCATACACTTGAAACAGTATATTATATCATGTGCAAAATATAACAATAAAGCCTTTTTTAAAAAGAAGCAGATCTGGAACTGAACAATATCTGAAATTTAAAAATCACTGAATGGGTTTAACAGCTAAATATAGATAAGACAAAGGGTAAATGAATGTATAGATAGAGCAACACAAAGTGCCCAATCTAAATAACAGGGAGAAAAAAGAGTTAAAAAAGCAAGCAAGCCAAAAATGGAATTAAAAGAACAATTCTACTAGCAATAGCATCAAAAGCAATATTTAAAATTTATATTCTGAGAACTAAAGACCATAAATGTCCAAAACAATCCTGAAAAAGAACAACAAAGTTGGAGGCCGGTGCTTCTTGATTTTAAAATTTACCACGAAGTAACAGTAACCAAAATAATGAAATACTGGCATAAGGACAGACATCAAAGAATAGAATGGAGAATCCAGAAATAAAATGGTGTCTACGGTCAGCTGAGTTTCAACAAGGGTGCCAGATAATTCAATGGGGAAAGAATAGTTCTTTTCAACAAATGCTGTTGAGGCAACAGGACAGCCACATACAAAAGAATGAAGTTGGACCTATAACCCCACAACGCATATAAAAATTCATTCAAAATGAATCAAATACCTGATAGTAAGAACTAAAGCTATAAAACTTTTACAAGAAAATGTAGGAGTAAGTGACCTTAGATTTAGCAATAGCTTCTTATATATGACATCAAAAGCTTGAAAAACAAAAGAAAAAGATAACTTGGACTTCTTTAAAATAAGTAACCTTTGTGCTTCATGAAAAAAAAGACTACCCACAAATGCAAGGATATGTTTGTAAATCACATATCAAATAAAAGATTTGTATCTAGAATGTTTATCTTACAATTCAGTAATAAAAAAACAATATTCCATTTAAAAATGGGTAAAGGATCTGGACAGTTCTCCAAAGATACACAAATGATCGATAAACACATGAAAAGATGTTCAATATTATCAGTTATCAGGAAAATGCAAATCCAAACTATGAGATAGCACTTCACACTCAGTACGTTAGTCAGTCAGTTAATAACTGTTAATAACAAGTGTTGCCAAAAACATGGAGAAATCAGCACCCTTATATACTTCTGGTAGAATATAAAATGGTATACTGGGAAATGGTACCTTGGGAAAATTTGGCATTTTCTCAGAATGGCAATACCATATACAGTAAAATATAATTACCAGATGACCCAGCAATTCCACTCTTATGTTGAAAACATATGTCCACACAAAAACTTGTGCCTAAATGTTTATTGCAGCATTATTCACAATAGCCAAATGGTAGAAACAACTCAAATGTCATCAACCAAGGAACAGGTAAACAAAATGTGATATCCATACAATGAAATACTATTCAGACATAAAATAAAGATCACTTTATATTCATTAGGATGGCTATTGTCAAAAAAAATAAAACATGCCCTGGCTGGTATAACTCAGTGGATTGAGCACAGGCTGCAAACCAAAGGGTTGCTGGTTTGATTTCCAGTCAGGGCACATGCCTGGGTTGCAGGCCAGGTCCCCTTTAGGGAGCGCATGAGAGGCAACCACACGTTCATGTTTCTCCCCCTCTCTCCCACCCTCCCTTCCCCTCTAAAAATATATAAATGAAATCTTAAAACAAAACAAAACAAAACAAAACCACACTTTTAAAAGTGTGATGAGAAAACAGCTATTCTGATTTGCTGCCTAGGCATTTCACAGTATGACAACCCTCCTTTCACCAAGACTCTGGATTTTTGATAAGGGCTTGAACTAAGGATTCCCACCACAAGTTCCCACTTTGCTTTTCCAGGGCATCTTTTCAAATGACCATTTAGAGCAGCAGTCCCCAACCTTTTTGGCACCAGGGGCCAATTTCATGGAAGACAATTTTTCCACTTATGGGAGGAGGGGCAAGGAGGCAGAGCTCAGGCGGTAATGCCACATTAGGCTCGCTCACTTGGCCACTCACCTCCTACTGTGGGCCCAGTTTCTAATAGGCCATGGACAGGTACCTAAGCCCAGGGTTGGGGGCCCCTGGTTTAGAGCCATGACAGGTGTGGATCAGTGGTTTGGGCATCATCCCACAAAGCAAAAGGTTGCTGGTTGAATTCCCAGTCAGGGTAGGTGCCTGGGTTGTGGGCAAGGTCCCTGCTTGGCAGTGGTGAGGGGCAAACGGATCAATGTTCTCTCCTTCTTCCCTTTCCCTCTCTCTAAAAATAAATTAAAACCTTTAAAAAGTAAATATCTAAATAACCACTAAGAGTTGAGTCTGGGAAAATAGTGACCTTCCTCCCAACAACCTTATAAGCAATAGGTGCCTGCTACCCTGATTGCCATGTCCTGCTTACTCATGACTAGGACAGAGGACCGCCTTTCCCCACTTCCAATACCCTCACCCCCAGCCATTTCTAGGATCTGTAAGTCAAAAACCTTGTGACTTTACTGACTTTATGTGACCGTACTAAAAGTGTGCCTTCACTCAAAACAACCCTGAAGTTTTCATTTCCCCAAAGTGGGAGCTCAGATGCTAAGGCAGCTGCCTTGAGGGTAGCTTGTGCCTCCTCATTCAACAAGTCATACTCTGCATAGTCTTAATTTAGTACATCAGCTACGAGAATCCCAACACAGCAAAGATGGGGAGAAACTGGAAACCTTGTGCATTGTTGGTAAGAAAGTGAAATGGTGTGGCCACTATGAAAAACAGCTATGACAGCTCCTAAAAAAATTAAAAATAGAATTAACATATCACCATTAATTTTACTTCTGGGTATAGTCCCAAAAAGTATTAAAAGCAGCAATTTGGACAGATATTTGTATATCCACGTTTATATCATTATTATTCACAATAACCAAAACACAGAAGCAATCCAAGTGTCTATTGATGGATGAATGGATAAACAAAATGTGGTATAAACACACACTGAAATATCATTTAGCCTTAAAAAGGAAAGAAATTCTGATGTACACTACAACACAGATGAACCCTGGGGAAATTAAATGAAATAAGCCAGTCACAAAAGGACTAATACTATATGATTCCATTTAAATAAAGTACCTAAAGTACCTTTATGAATTCAAATTCATAAAGACAAAAGTAGAATAGTGGTTACCAGGGGATGAGGGAGAGGGAGAAATGGGAACTGTTGTTTAATGGGTATAAAATTTCAGTTTTACAAAAGATGAAAAGAGTTCTGAAGATTGGCTGCATGACAAAGTGAATGTACTTAATACTACTGAATGGTGTATATACACTTAAAAATAATTAAGATGGTAAATGTTATCTATATTCTACTACGATTAAAAAATGAACATATTCTACAAAAGTAATAAAAACCCGTACAGAAAAAAATGAAATAAATACTGATATATACTACAATGTAGATAAACTTTGGAAACATTCTGCTAAGTAAAAGAAATCAGTCACAAAAGACCATATATTTATGACTGGATTTATATGAAATGTCCAGAATAGGCAGCAATCTATAGAAACAGAAAGTCGCTCATGGCAGGGAAGATGAGGAAAGAAAGTAGGGGGATAAAAAGGTGATAACTAAAGAATATGGGAGTTTCTTCCTGAGGCAATAATATTCTAAAATTACACATATCTGTGAATATATTAAAAACCAATGACATACACTTTTAAAATTAGCGAACTGTATAAAATGTGAATTATATCTCAATAGAGGTATTTTTTTTAAAAATGTAAGGCTGCTCTATCCAAAGGGAAATACCCTAGGCCCAAAATTACTCCTCTTGTTCCAGGGAGAGTCCTACTGAGAAAAATAACCTACAGAACTTCAAAAGAAACTCAGACTAGCACCTAAACTAATCATGAATGTCTTTTTCATATACATGAGAAGACAAACACGGATGAACAGACATGTAAAGAAAACCTAACTTTAGGGTTTTATATAAGTACTGTTCAGCATGCTGTGACTTACCAGAATTTAAAAGTGGGTTCCAAAAAATTAGGGTTTCCAATCCTGGTTACATATTAGAGTCACAAGTGGAGCTTTGTCTTTTAAATACAATTTCCTAGAGTTCTTCAGATATTTAATAAATCAGAATCTCTGGGATAAGATCTGAGCACTCTTTTTTTTTAATGACAAAGGTGACACTGACTTTACCCCTCGATTAGGGCCCAAGATCTCTGGTAAATGTCTGTGAGTACCCTAGAAAGATTAGTAAACTTACTGTTCAGAGTTAACTGTATTCAAACTGAAAAGTTTCTACCTCCCTCATTAGAAAACTATGCTTTTCCAGACCCTCAGCAAATTTTCCTCTTAATTTTCTACAAAAATAATTAAACCACATTTTTCAACTGAAACCATATTAAGTAAGAGAGAATGGGTACTTAACATTTTTTACAATGTACAAATTGAAGATCATTTCATTAACTAGAGATATGCTTTGACTAATGATCAATTAGCGACAAAACAAAACACTATTCTGTTTTGGATTTAGTCAAAAGAACAAATTATTTACTTACAGAAATCCACTAAAAACATCAAGGTTTTTTCCACTCAAGGCATCAATCTTGAATGGCCAAAACATTTATTTTATATCCAGATAGATTCTGTAAGTTTAAAGATAATGGGACAATTACCTATCCAAGACTTAGTTTTTGTTTTTAGTTTTTGCTTTGGTCACTAGCAAGAGTAAATCCAAGTATTTAAATATTTAGAGCATATAATAAAAAGAAAACTATGAAACAGCTTCTCAAATTTCCAAAATTGTGAAAACATTACCCCAATCTGTACTAATCCTGGTTTTAAAAATCTATTCCCCTTGGGCAACAACTTATACTTTCTATGTTACATAAAATGGCTACTAAAATATTAAATATGTACCCGTTAATAGTGCATATAGGCTGGGGGGAAAGTAGGTTTATAGCTGTGAAGATGCAAAACATAATTTATTCTTATAATATTAATTAATCATCATATTATTTTCTACATGAACTAAATGCATATCTACTTTTGCCCCACCCTGTATGTATAATACACACTTAGTTAATGGAGGAAAAATATTCATGTGGTAGCTTTAGACCAAGCACCTCTGACTGACTGCCTACTTACAGCATCCCCAACTGCCAACTTCATGTCACATTTGGTGACATGTTAGATTTTGCATGACTGACACAAAGCATATCAAGTGACAAATTAGTCTGAACCCTCGCATTTCAGACTTGATTCTATGGAACTACTACATACCTGATTTTTCATCCTGTACTTCAAATTCTGCACCAGCAGATCCCAATAGTGATGCCCCATGTTGTAACAATCTACATATATCAAATCTGTCAAAATTCAATCGATCTGTAGTAGATGAATCTTCCAAAGCATTTTCTGAAGTAGACTCTAGATGAGGTTTAAAAATATTTAATTTGATCACACAGCCAAAATGTAAAATGAAAGAAAACAGCATTATTTATGGTGGATGGGTAATATTTTAAGAAAAGTAAAACGTGAAGTAGAAAAGCTACCATTGGATTTATTTATAAAAGCTCTTAGTTATTTATGAATAAACTAGTTGGTGGCTCCTCTTCTAAAAACCATTAGGATGTTAGTGGATGTATGTAGAACTGTTGTTGACTGCAAAGTTATGTGACAAAAATGCATCCTCATGTTGAACTATGTGTGTTAAATTTCATGCTGTCTCCACTTACTGTTCAACTGTTTAAACATACCAAGGGTAAACAGTATGTGTTTACCACAGTGCTAAATTAGGAGATAAACATTTTCACAGAATATATTCATAAAGACTACTAAGCATCATCCCTCCCTATACCTGAGGAATATCTGGGACACAAAGAAACTATTTTATTCAATTGGACTTACATCTCACAATATGAAGCAAATTAAAATTCCCTGGTAAACTGCTAAAATTATATATATCCAGCTGAGGCTTAAAAATATCTACAATATGCTCTGCATTCCTCCCTCCAAAAGTTATGCCATTATAAATTTAAAAATATATTGTAGTTGTTCACTGGTTTGTTTAGTTGGTATCTGCATATAAGTCATCTATAAACTGTAACTGTTTGACTTAAAAAAATGCTACAAACATTTTTAACTTTCTAGTGATGATAAGCAATCTTACTATACACTTTAATACTGGTGTAACTAATTTAAGAGTTTATAAAAAAGAATCTGAGTTCTTATATCTCTATATACCAAAATAATCAGAAATAATAAGCTGGAAAAGAAAAAGCTCTTTCCTAAAAACAAGTTATAACTTCTTCTGGTTATATATTTCATCTGATGAGAGAAAAGACAAATTAACACAATTACTCAAAATAATGCGCCAGCAAATTAAAGCAAAATTTTAGACAAGCTAAGACTTATGACAAAAGCAATATTTTTAAAGGGACTTGAAAATAAAACCCAGATGCACCATATTAAATTTTCACTTAATGAAAATAGGTTCTTTTACAATTTTTTAAAAGCATATACTCAATTTAAAATGTCATTACAAGAAATCAGAAAAATAACTTCTACTACAAGACACCTAAAGGATACAAAAAACCAGAGATACCCATCCAAATATCCATACATAATCATGCTTACATTTAGAAAAGTGATTACACTATTCTTCTTACCAACAAAAAAATACTGTTTCAAATATTTACTTTGTATTGATTTAATTTCATTTTTAGGACATAAATCTCTTCAGGGAAGTAATAATCTATAAATCAAGCATACTGTGGAATAATTTTAAAATATATATATGAAAACATTTTGTTTGTTTTTTTAAAGCATAGTGAAAATTGCCTTATTCAGTGTCATTTCTTGACAAGGCTACACCTAAAAGAATGAATATTAAAATATAAAATGTGTAGTACAGTTAACTCTACAGTAAGAATTTTATTGCAAACAATTTTCCACTTAAAAGCACTTTGTTTGAGCCCTGACCCCTGTGGTTCAGTTGGCTGAGCATTGTTCTCCAGAGCAAAGGGTCGCTGGTTTGATTCCCAGTCAAGGCACATGCCTGGGTTATGGGCTGGTCCCTGGTTGGGACATGAGAGGCAACCGATCTTCCTCTCACAATTGATTTTTCCTCCCTCTCATTCTCCCTCCCTTCCTGTCTCTCTAAAAATAAATAAAGTATTTTAAACAATAATAAAAGCACCTTGTTTGGTTCTTGGCACTGGATTCCACTCAGGTACGTTTTTCACTATAGCTTCCACAGCTTGTCCTGCTGCTATCCGAGTATCCCAATTTGTACTCCGTAAGTATATCAATACCTTAAAAAATTATAAAATAATACTTATATACCAAAAAATATTTTCTGTTCAAGGTAGCCAGAACAGAGAAATACAAATTTACATGTTATTATTCAATAATTTATAATTTAGCAGCCCTCAAACTTATATAAAACATCTTGAAATTATTAAATCATTTATAAAATTATATCATTCACAGAAAATATCACTACACCTTAAAAAATGGGAACTTTTAATAAAAGAATACTTAAGTGCATTTCAAAAATAACATAGCTTTTAACATGCTAAAAAGCAAAGACAGTGTGATACTGGAAAAAGGACAGATATATACATTAACAGACTAGAATTGAGAGTCCAGAAACAATACTATGTGTCTATGGTCAACTGATTTTCAACAAGACTGCCAAGGCAATTTAATGGGTTAGGCGTAGTTTTTATCAACAAAGGTGCTGGGGCAATAAAATAACAACCTCACAATATACACAAGAACAAACTCAAAATGGGCTATAAATCTAAAAGTAAGAACTAAAAACTATTAAATCCTTAAAACACCGGGGTAAATATTTGTGACACTGGGTTAGGCAAGGGTTTTTTTTTGTATATGACCCCAACAGCACAAGTGATATTAAAAAAAAGATTAGGTTTCATGAAAATTAACAACTTTTGTACTTCAAGGATACTATCAAGAAACTAAAAAGACAACCAAACCACCAGCTGGAAGAACATATTTGCAAATCAAATACCTGACACGGGACTTGTATACAAAATATATTAAAAAATATTACAACTCAATAATAAAAGAATAAATATCCCACTTTAAAACATACAAAGGATCTGAAATAGTTCTCAAAAAAAATACACAAATGGTCAATAAACACATGAAAACATGCTCAACATCATTAGTCATCAGGAAAATGCAAATCAAAAGTACATGAGATATCACTTTACACTCACTGGTATGGATATAATCAAAGTCATTTAATAACAAGTTCTGGCAAAGACGTGGAGAAATCAGGTCTCTCGTACACTGCTGTTCAGAATGTAAAATAGTGGAGCCAGTTTGGAAAACAGTCTGGCAGTTCTTATAAAGTTAAACATAGTTAGCAGATGATCCCGCAGTTTTACTCCAGGTATATAACCTAGAGAAAGAAAAACATACATCTACACAAAAACCTGTGTATGTGGATTTTCATCGCAGCGTTTTCATTATAGGCTAAAAAGTGGAAACAACCCAAATGTCCATCAACTGATGAACAGATAAATAATATATGGTATATCCATATAGTAGATCCATATCCATCAATGGAATATTATTTATCAATAAAAAGAAATGAAGTAATGACACATACCACAATATGAAAGAACCTTGAAAATATTATTTTAAGTAAAAGAAATGAGTCATAAAAGGTCATATATTTATATAAAATGTTCAGAATAGGCAAATCTATAGACAGAAACTAGATTACTGGTTACCTAGGACAGGGTATGGAAGGAGGAGTGATGAAAAGTAACTGCTAAAGGGCATAAGGATACTTTTGGGGAGATAAAAATGTTTTAAAACTAGATTGCAGTGATGGTTGCACATATCTGTGAATATAATTTAAAAAATCATTGAATTGTATACTTTACATAGATGAACTGTATTGTATATAAATTATATTTCAATAAAGCTGTTTAAAAAACAAAACTAAAAGGCAACAGGAAAACATTGATGGCAGAGAGGAGGATAGGAAGTAAGAAGGTGCTAAAGATAAACTTTGCCTCTTTTGTAATTATTTGATGGCAGCCAGTATCCTGGGGTCTGTTATAAAGATCAGAACTCACTCGAAAGTCTGGAAACCTTTTTTCAGTTCAGCACAGATTAGACTTGTTCCCTGTTTCCAGTTTCAGCTCATTCAGTCCTCCTCTCTTCCCTTGGGATCAGAAGAAATGGGTATGCTTCTCTATCTCATACCTTACACATGAGTATAATATTGCCTAGGATGCACTGTTCTCCATTCTGAAAACATGGAGCCTGGAGATGTCAAATCACTGTCTCTCTCCGTCTACATCTTCGATATAGAGCCGGGAATACATTGGGAAGAGTACGTCACTGTTAGCCCTTGTAGTAAGAACCACATAGTATATATTTATACTATATATATTAACAAAGGGCTTTGAAATCCTACTCATAGGAATCAGGGAGGGACAAATGACAATGAAAAAAAGAAGAGAGGTATCTTGGGGCTTCCAATGTCCGGGCTATCATATTGCTCCCCTCTCCTATTCCCTACCCTTCTCTTCCTCAAAGCACTCTTGTTTTTACTTTGCATCCCAGAGAATTAAACACATAGAATTTGCTGCTTACAATCAAGCAGGCACACTTCTATAAGCCCAGAGTTCAGTGAAAGTACCATTACTGCTTAGGGAAAGACACAGGCTAAGATTATGAAAACTGTGATTCACCAAAGCAGAAAGCCTCCACTTTCAAAAAGCTGATAACTAAGAATGTAATGACAACTAGCTTCTCATATATTTTAGTCATTGCCCATGAGCACTCATCCATATGAAGACTGCCAACTATGATATAATTACTAGCTGTTAGGAACAAGTTAGATCACTAACAAACTAGAATAACTTAGTTCATTACCAAATTGGGTCAGCTTCAAATTTGTGCCAAAAGTAAAAGATTTTATGTTGTGTCAAAGCCCTTCTACAGTTAAACCTGATGCAAAAAAAATGTGTGTGTGTGTGTGTGTGTGTGTGTGTGTAATCTTGTGACAAAATTACAAAAGAATAGCAAAAAGTTTTAAATATTTAAAGAAATGTTAAGACATTTAATGAAACTTGAAGATCACAAGCTGTCACTAAAATAACATAAGACAAAAAGTCTTTACTTTTATGTTCCTAACCATGGACACATTCCCACAATTGTATTACACAAAACGAAAAGAAAAAAAAAAAAGAGTTCTTACTTTAGATAAGAGATTGTTTAATTCATGGGGATGAAGCTTTACCACTTCTCCAAGTTGCTGTGCAGCAGCTTTTCTTGTAACTGGAGTAGTGCCAGTATCCAGTAAGATAAAAAGACGGTCAAGCCTAAAATAACAAAAATATAACGGTTATTCTGAAATGTGTTTTCTTATATGTATAAGTATGAGTCAATAAATGTACTGAGCATCTCTGAACAAAGATCTATGCTAGGGTTGCAGGAGAATCTCTACTCCCAAGCAACTGGCTATGAGGGTTGAATGAGTGGGTAAGGCAAATAAACAAATACGTAGAATACAGACTACAATAAGATACATGTAAGAAAAGACGTACTAAGAGCTTTAAGGAGTGGGAACAGAGAAAACAAATACTATATCCCCAACTGTGTAATACTGTAAAGACCTCATAAAACAAATGGTATATGAGATGGACCGTGGTGGTAGAATAAGAATTTAATGCTGGTGGAGACGGGGTGACAAAAGGGAAAGGGGGAGAACCACCTGGAAGGAGGAATAACAACACAGCAATAAGAAAAGGAAGACTACACTTAGGGAAATGACTAAAAGCTTGACAGTAATTCGGGGTACATTTAAGAGAACAGTGGGAGACACAGCCACAGAAGTAACTACAGCCTTTTGTGGGTGGTGGCAAACAGAGAGAAGGCCATCAAGGCCTCAGGCACCCTGCAAGGGCACAACATGGCAGGGCGCTGCCCGCCCACTTCAGGTGCTGCTCACAGCCCCTCTGCCACATGCACATCTTTCCACCTAACCACATTTTTGCTAAGTCTCGCTTCTGGTACATTTGTATCTCAACTAAAGAAGTAAAGAAATCTTCAGGGAAATTATCTATTGTGGGCAGGTGTTCAAAAAATTCTCCCTTAGGGGAAAAACTTTGGCATCTGGCTGTGCTACAATTCCTACAGTGGCAACCAAAACATGTACTGAGAGTACCAGGACCTGATACCACAGATGCCATCAACCAGTGCCACCTAGACATGAGGGCCCACGTCCACTCAATTCAGATCATGAAAGTGGAGGAGACTGCAGCCATCAAGTGCCCTCGGCCAGCAGTCAAGCAGTTCCACAACTCCAAGATCAAGTTTTCACTGCCCCACTGAGTCCTTCATTGCCAGCACAAGCCACACTTCATCATCAAGACGCCCAACACCTTCTTTTAGATGCAGGGCCCCCCAGTCCTCTGATCTGCCCAAATAAACTTTTTCAAAAAACAAGCAAAGAAGTAGCTAAAGTCCTAATGTGGAGAATGTGAACGTATAAACCGTGAAGGTCTTCGGTTAAGAAAATGATGGGACTGGAGCTGTTTTAGAAAGACTAATCTGGCAGCAGTGTGAAGCATGAAAACAAATGGAAGGAAACTTTCAGAGAATTTAACTAAAAGTACAGACCTGAGGAATTCCAGTCAAGATGGAGGCATAGGCGGAAACACTATACCTCCTCACACAACCAAATTTAAGGACAACAAAGACTTAGAAACAAAAACACAACCAAAACAGACAGAAAATTAAACTGTACTAAAGTCCAACAACAACGCACCATTCATCCACACCAGTAAGAGGGGCAAAGTCAGCAGCTGGCAGAGAGGGGTCCCAGCAGAAAAAGGTGGTGGTTAGCAGACCAGACAGGTGTGGGGCAAAAACCCTGTAAGGTTCGCAAGGCACTGGCTGACCACAGACACACATTCGTGCGCAGATAAACCAGGCAGGTTTGAAAACAGTCAGTGAAACAGATCGTGCAACCCAGGGCCCCAGGAATGGGAAATAAAGCCTAAAAGTACTGACTGGAAAAACTTTCAGAGGTTGAGGTACCAGAGGAGGCTCCTAGCCTCACAGGAGAGTTGCTGGGGAGACCCACAGGGTCCTAGAACATACACAAGCCCACCCACCCGGGAACCATCACCAGAAGGGCCCAATTTGCCTGTGGGAAGTGGCAGAGGGGACCGAAATCCAAGAGAGAGGAACAAGTGCAATCACTCCCTCTGACCCCACCCCCACATATATAGTGTCACAACCCAGTGACTAGATTGCCCTG